ATAAAACAGACAGATTTCATCCCCTTCTTAAGGACCTAGAGAACAATTTCAAAAAGAAAAAGTCTACAGATGATAGTCAGAGGGAAATGGATTTGTTTTCTTTCAAAGCTACAGATGAACTATCTGCTATTGTGCTGTTAACCTTCTAATTAACAAATGCCCGGTTTTATAATAATATGCCAGTTAAGTAATACTTTCATGAAACCTAACTTTCCTTCTCTTCCAAATTCAAATATCGCTGAAATCAAATCTCAAGAATATTAATTTTTATTTAAAAGAGAAAGTTAAGCACAGATAAGCAGTGAATTCCATTTCTAAACAAAGCCTCGGCTGACTCAAGGTGGCCTCTGCCAGCAGCAGTGTGGATGCTGAAAACTGGTGACTCTGGAGTGTCAGAATATATATCGAGTGGTTGCCAATATTAAAAATTTGAAATGGTTAATATACAGATCAAGATTTCTGATAGTCCTGGGCCCACATTGCCTGAGACCCAGTAACATTTGCCCCTTTTAGGTGTGTGTGGCTTGTGTTTCTCCAGCCGCCCCCCCCCCCCACCCCCCGCCTTCTATCTGACATTCCTTGCTTTGGACCTACCCAATCAGGTAGGCATTTGTCTGAGGTAAGAACTAGGGTGGGAGACACGGCCAGGATTGGGGATCAGAGGGCACATGGAAGTGTAGAGGAGCCCTGGCTCTAAGCCTGGCAGATCTCTAGTGATCTGAGGTCTACTGGAGTTGTGTGACCTTGGGCAAGTCCATGCACTAGTCTGAGCTGTTGTGTGGGAAGAAAGTGAAAATGTTCTATAGGTGAGGATCCTGTGTGGTACCTGGCATGTCATAAATGCTCTGCTAGAGTTACACCTTCTTATCCCAAACGCAAGAAAGAAAAATGTTTGGCACAATTTATCATCACAAAAAATCTAGCTGCCTACTAGGTAAGCAGCTAAAAAAATCATTCTTATAAAATTAAAAAGGCCTACATCATTCACTGTAAGTAGTTCAAAGAAGATAAAACAAAGGGTAAAAAATATCAGATATGATTCCAATGTAATAATGACCCAGGCAAGGATTATCCACTGATACTCAGAGCACTCCAAGGTCCCCACCTTGGAGTGGGGGACGGAGAATGGACAGGATGTTCACAAAGGAACCACACATCAGCCCAAAGATGTCTGACTGACTCAAAGTATATCCTGAATATTGGTGAGCTCCGGTTACCACCTTACCCAAGAGATCAGATGATAGGAAAAGTTGACATCCTCCACCTCTGGATGTGATATAATGATGCCACCAATGAAGTATTCTTGCCAAAAGCTGTTAACCTGCATCTAACAAGCTTCTAGATCTAACAATTTTCAGGCCATAAGGCACAAGTTAATCCCATAAAAAAAAACCAGACAATTCCAGAGCGCAAGACGTTCTACATCACAACCAGTGCAGGATATTCTACAATATGGGCTTGATAGTAGAATATGTTATGAAATTATTGCTAAGTTTTTTAGGTATGACCGTAGTATTGTTATGTAAAATAATGTTCCTATTCTTGGCAGATACATGATGAAATATGTAGAGTTAAAATGTCAAGATGTGTGCAATTTTCAAATGGTGCTGCAAAAATTTACCTAATGTAATATCCTATATAATAAAAGAGCAATAAGCAAATTGACTGTCACTCCAACACACAAGATGGCCGACCCTACGTGGTCAAAGATGGCTGCCCCCATGTGAACACAAGATGGCCACCACAAGATGGCCTGCAGGGGAGGGCAGTTGGGGGCAACCAGGCCTGCAGGAAAGGGCAGTTTGGGGGGACCAGGACTGCAGGGAAAGGCAGTTAGGAGAGACCAGGCTGGCAAGAGAGGGCAGTTAGGGGTGACTGGGCCAGCAGGAGAGGGCAGTTAGGGGCAATCAGGCCAGCAGGGGGACAGTTAGGTGTCAATTAGGCTGGCAGGGGAGTGGTTTGGGGGTGATCAGGCTGCCAGGCAGAAGCAGTTAGGGGCAATCAGGCAGGCAGTTGAGCGTTTGGGAGCCAGCAGTCCTGGATTGTGAGAGGGATGTCCGATGCCTATTTAGACCCAATCCCGGGGATCAGGCCTAAACGGGTAGTCGACATCCCTCGAGGGGTCCCAGGTTGGAGAGGGTGTAGGCTGGGCTGAGGAAAATCCCCCCTCCACATTCATTAATTTCATGCACCGAGCCTCTATTATATATATAATTGGAAAAGGAAATAAAAAAGCAAGTGGCACATTTAAAACATATAAGTGTTGATTTTATCATTCTCCTAACTAGCAGGTTTGAAAATTTTCAAAATAAAAAGTTGGTAAAGAAACTAAAAGAGAGAGAAGGAAAGAAAAAAAAAAAAAAAAAGTCAGATCAGATAATATCACACTTCCCTTTTTTATAATCACCTCACCATTCATATTCAGGTCAGCTTCACTGCGTGCCTTTTCATTCAGTACGGTTTTATTTTTACCACTTTAATAAATTTCATGTGTGCTCATTCAAACTGATGTAGCCACCTGTCTTGGTTTCTTTGCTGTCTGACATCAAAACCAAACTTTAAACAAAGCTCCAACAACAGGCTCTGTAGAAGTGGAACAGGTAGGTATGTGAAGCCAAAGATATCATCTTAAAACCTCCTGAAATTGACACCTAATTCCCTATCTAGATGGTTTTTAAGCTGGTAAGACAGGATCAAAGGCTGTGGGTGGGCATTCTCTGGGGCTTTGATCTTTTCCCAGGATGGCACTGGCTCTCTCTACCTGCGCTGGGTGTTGATAAAGGAATGAAAGGTACAGGATGCTGATCAGAGAGGACGTGGGGTTTTGGAGGCTCTTTCCACATGGAGTGTGCTGAGCCCGAGTTCTGGTGCAGAGAGCAGCTTGGCATAAGCTGCAGAACAGCCAATCTGAGTTCAATTGTTATGCCCGCGAGCTCCGGACAATGGATGATGTGAGAATGAATACTGGGGTGCCTTTAACTTGGAGAGGGCCATAAAGGGCCTAGACTCAGAGAGAGCAGGGATGAGCCTGGCTCTCCTGCTGCATATTAGCTGCATGGCTTCAGAGCAGTGCTTCCCAGTGCTTCACAGTAATCTCCGTGCCCTATGCTGGGGACAACCCTTCGCGGGGCAGGACTGATTTAGCACTGCAGCATTAACCACCTCTGTCCCACTTCCAAGCTCACCACAAGCCAACCCTGCCTCCAGTCATTGAAAGAACAAACACCTTATACTCTCCAACACCCCCTGCCTTGGACATAGGTTAAATTCTCTGAGCCTCAGATTTTATCTGGGGAGGATACCCGTTCCACCACCCAAGTGGTGGTTTGGGAGGAGCAAAGGTGCCACATCTCCAATACAAGTGATAACATAATACGCATTGCCATGGCAGCCTGCCAGTCAGGGGCAAAGCTGTGGGGCAGGTCCAACCGCCTGGGTCCCAAGTGGGTTCCATTCCTCAGTGTTAGCTGTCCGGCAACTACTTATTCTGAAAATGTTTCACCTCTGTAGGTGGGAAATTCTGGTTTATAAGTGTTGCTACAGATAAAAACCACAAGACTGGGAATTTAGTATGAAAGCTGATGGCAGATAAGTGGGCCATGGGAACTGACAAGTAGGATGGCAGTCTCCCAGCAGTTTCCAAAAAAATCGGGTTTAGGATGGCGCCAAAAGTAACCTGGAATGAGCACCAAATTACTTCAAGGATCAAGAGACTCAAGTAATAGAACACCATCCCACGTACACCAGAGCAGGGAACAGCAAGCACAGGTCTGACTTACAAAATGACAACTGACCAGTAATTTACAGCCTTCAGCAACGAACGCTCCTGGAAAGGAACCTAGCAGGCTGGGCGGGGCTGCTGCACACAACCTCACATAGAGCTGGATCTGGAGGCTTTGGGGTCGCTCTCTGGATGATTCGGTTGTGGAGGGGGTGGTGGATCGCCTCTGGGAGAACTTGACACTTCTCCAGAGATTCTCAACTCCCCCTCATGGAACATTCTGGCTCTCATTGTGTTGCCTTCATGCCTTACAGTTTATGTAAAAAATGCTCCTGTGCCCTTAGAACCGATTTAGTTTCTGGGTTACAAAACTGCTTGTTCTTGTTCTTTTTTCTTTTTTGTAGTTGTGCTTTTTTGTTTTTGACACACAAAAGAGAGAGATAGGAGGCAAAGGACTAGGGTCCAACCAGGCTCCATAACACCTTCTGAGGTACATGTGTGTGCGGTTTTGTTTTGCAACAGACAATTTCAGGTCTGTTTCAGGAAAACTCCCTGGACTGTCAATCTCAGTGTAAAGACCTTAAAATGAAAACTTCCCATCTGTTTGCCACCCAGGGATCCAACAAGAGATATAAAACAAACCTATTTAGAAAATGCCCCCCTTAACTTAAGGCTCTCAAATGCATAACACACAGAACCTTCCAGGAATCAAGCTGGCTGGGACTTCACAAAATCAAAAATACCAAGTAACACCTCCAACTGTAAAAATGCTGGCTTTTAAAAAAAAAAACTTAATGCCCTGGCTTGGTTGGTTGGAGCACTGTCCTGTACACCAAAAGGTTGCAGTTTCGATTCCCGGTCAGGGCACATATCCAGGTTGCAGTTCCATCCCCAGTCAGGGTGCATGCGGGAGGAAGTACATCAGTGTTTTTTTTTTCACATCAATGTTTCTCTCTCTCTCTCCCTTCCTCTATCAAAAATCAGTAATAATAATAATAATAATAATAATAATAATAATAATAATAGAGACTTAACATAAAGAGGAGGACCACAAAATGTACAGGTGAGTTCCCCTAACACCTGCCTCTCTTTTTTCTGTTCTGAACAGACTCATGGACAGGAGAAGAAGTGCAGTCTCTTGGGGGAGGGCTCAAGTCTCTGGGGGACCAGGGCCAGGCTCACTGCCCACCTGCCAGCCGGGCTTCTTTGCTGGTTGCCCTCTGCCAGTGCCTGGGTTCCTGCCTCTGCCACCAAGCACACCTCATCCAGCACCCCCATGTCACGGCCTTTCACTGCTCTGCTGCCGCAGGCCACCACAGCCACGACCCTTGGCCACCACCTCTTCTTTGACCATGTCCGTGATCTCACTGGGGATGCACAGGTACCTACTGGTGCTGCTGCGGAGGTAGCACTGGAGCATCCGCCAGAACTCGTCCCCATCCCTAGATGTGCAGATCACCTCGCGCAGGTTGAAGTTCATCCAGCTGTTACAGCTTACCAGGTGCCCACTGTACGTCTCCCCGTTTTTAAGCTCCACGAACATGGGGTGATTCTGAGCTGTCTTCAGCAGTGACAACAGGAGCATGGTGGCGGCAGGGACCTGGCCTGCCAGTCACTTCCACTTCGGCCTCCTCCGTTCATGCGCCCTGCTTGTTCTTATTCTTTTTTTATATTTATATTTTATTTTTATATTGTTTTATTTTAATTGCCTTAAGTTTCACATATGTCTCCTTTTTCCCTGATTGACCCCTTCCACCCCCCAAAAAAGAAGGAACTTTTGCCATTTGCAACACCATGGATCGAACTGGAGAGCATTATGCTAAGCAAAATAAGCCAGTCAGAGAAAGATAAATATCACATGATCTCACTCATATGTGGGCTATAATGATCAACATAATTTGAGGAACAAGAATAGAGCCAGAGCCAAATGTTCTTATTCTTTATCTCTGTTTTTCTCCACTCCCTTTCCCCTATCTCCCCCTCCCCCCCACCCTCCTCCCACACTGCACACTTGAGAAGCTAACTTTGTTTTGCTGATCTAATTTCTCCTTTATCATTCACTTTTAAATAGGGACTAGGAAATGCTGACTGGGCAGAAAGTCTGACCCTCCTTAAGGCCAAGGCCTCAGGAATTAACAGGGAAATGAGGGAAGCCAAGAGGTGGAGCAGGGAAAGGGCACGTCTTAAAGAGTAGAAGTGAAAGCAGACAACCACTCTAGGCTAGCAGACCTCCTGAAAGAGCGTGGAAATGACCCACACATTATTAGAAAGGGGTTCTGAGAAACAAGTAGCTGTAAGTGTGTGATTCACTAAAATATTTAGCGCCAACATGGTATTTTTATAATCTCACTTGACTCTGCTTACTATTCAGGTTTGGTAGTTTCTCCAGATTCTATTCATTGTAAAAACAGCAGACTGATAACGTTTAGTCCCTAAACCTCTGGGTAGGCCATCTGAAATGAGATCTTTTTTCCTTTCTCCTTCCACTTTCCAGAATGCATTTTCATAGCATTCTTGCAAGAAGAAAGATTATCAGAAAAAGAAAAATGAAGGGGAGTAAAATTTAAAGAATATGATACCAAAGCTTTTGGTAGAAAAACATTTATGTCCGCAAGCACACACCACACCCTTTCTGGGAAGATATATTACTGGTCTTGAAGCTGGGTTAGTGGATCCCAAAATATACCACACAAACAGCACAGTTACCCTCCCAAAATAGGCCCTATAATTAAAGTCTTTTCAAGTGGATTGTCCTATATCACAACCTGACACATGTTGCTTTAATCTCCCTGCTTCAGCAAATGTAGCCATACTGGGTACAGAGGCTCTAAAAACAACTTTCATTTAAGCCAGACTGTGGTATCACCAGGAAAATGATGCAAATATTTGGTATAGCCTTGTGTACTAAAATACCAATCTCAATCATCTGTCGTGAGATCTCTCCCCGCCCTAAGCACATTTTTTTCGCACCAGAATCGCTACCCCTGATTCAGAAGAAAGGACTAGCCCAGATTGAAATGCCGTTTCATCTCAGAGGCCATCTAAAGATAAGTGTATCTGAAGAAGCTGGGGTTGAAATTTAAAATACAAGACAATCTCTTTTGTGTGAATGCTGGGATCGTGTTGTGTGAGCCTCACTTTTGGCTTTAGCTGCCAATCTGCAGTATAAGTCTTCAGGCACCCATCTGTCTGAATTCATTACGTCATTTTCTTTGCTTGGAGTCAGAGTTCAAGTAAGAGATAGCATCTTAGGAGCCCTTTCAGAACTATTAATCTTTAAATAAACTTTTTAAATGTTTTCTATGCACACACACACACACACACACACATAAAAATAAATGTCAAAATATTTTAAAATTTAAACCTTCAAAATAATGAGTACTTTAAACATAATTTTTTTTATTTTATTACTTCTGTATCAGGTTTCTCAGCCTTGGGATTATTGTTATTTTGAACTGGATCACTCTGTGTGTATGGCGCTGTCCTTCCCATTGTAGGATATTTAGCAGCCTCCCTGGCCTCTACCCACTAGAAACTAGTAGCACACACCCTTTCTTCCCCATTTGTAGCAATAAAAAATGTCTTCAGACATTGCCATATGTCCTCTGGGAAGACAAAATTGACCTGGATTGAGAACCACTGTCCTCTTTATGTATTTAGATATCTTCCCTGGCATGGCCAGGAAAAAGAATTCTAGATTTTTCAAGGCACCCACAAGTTTTAGTTTTTAAAAATTTCAAACTTCCTATGACTCATAATGAAGAATCAGGATTTGTGATACACTACTACCTGAGAGATTTATAAACAGCACTACTGCTGTTAGACAAATACCTGGGCATATTCTTTTAGTCAAAGTTCAATAAAATTGGCCCAATAATTGGATCTCTATGAAAGCTACCTAATAAGCATAGACAAAAACAAAACAAACAAACAAAAAACCAAGACAGGTTTGGAAATGAAAGCCTGAATGTGGTAACTGAGGTCCAAACCAATGACCTACTCCAAATCCTTCTTCTTCTTTTACTTCTTGGCATTTTGGTTTAAAATAACATTAACTCCAAAACTGAACCAAGCTCAAACCATGTGACCACACTTGGCTCTAAAGGTGGGAAGAAGGAAAGTTAAATTAGCCAACTTTGTCTAAGAATGGATCGACGGGGTTAAAGACAAACGACTCAGGGGTTCCCACAGCTTGTTATGGAGGAGGGACTGTGGTGACCAAATGTGATGTGCCCTGTGACAGCAAATGGGGTGTGACCAACCCATCCCCACTGGGAGATAGGAACACCTCAATGACAGATGTCCAGTTTCCAAACAAGCCTGTTCTGTTATCAAGAATAACTGCTTTATTGAGCACCTAGTATGTTACAGCCCTATCTAGCTCCTTTTATTCTCACAACCACTGTATGAGGTAGGTAACATGATAAGCCTCATTTTACAGATGAGGAAACTAAGGCCAAAGAGGTTATATAACTACCAGTAAAAGTGTACAGCTTTTTATTATTCTAGGTCTTCTGGGTGCTGCTGAACGTAATGTCTTGGTCTCTCAGGCCACTGCTATGCTTGTTTTGTAGGCTGACTCTCAGGCATGCTGGATTCTCCAAGCAGCCAATTGCCTATTGTCTCTCATTTCAACATAGAGGCCTTAAGGATCTCTCTGCTTTAGATTTTTTATTTCATTTCACTCTTTTGGTGGCTTAGAACATAAGCTAGACTGTCAAGGCTATTCCTTACCCTGCATCCAGAAGCTTCCCTAAAGCTAGACTCCTCACTACATCTTAGAAAAATCCCATCTTGTTTAATAACATCAGCAATAACAAGGAAAAAAGTCATACTGTCAGAAAACACCAACTAAATGTCACATTTAATTATAAAACTGCATTTTGTCTGAGTTTAGTGCAGAGTTAAAATGCACAGAATGAGACAATGGCTGCCCTTTGTTAGCACACTTTACAAAAGAGGGTGTTAGAAAACAATGCAGTGATACTTACCAAAATTTCCCCCAATTATCACAGACTTTATATACACCACATGTCTTCTAATACCGCTGCTGGGGTGGTCCTGAAAAACAATACCACAACAGAAGGATAGATGCATCATTAAAGACATAATTTAATATATGTATAGATTGTGTTTTTCTCCTGGATACCACACGTCTTCCAGTTTTGGGCTCCCATCAATGTACCAAACTCTTACTGTCAGATTCCTCTTTGTCTTCACAGAAAGATAAAACTAACTTACAAATTAATTCAGCACTCACTAATCCTATATAATAAAGAGATAATATGCTAATTAGACTGAGAGGCAGACAACCTTCTAGAATGACCTTCCGGAATGACTAGTGGGCAGGGGACAAGGCCGTGAGGCAGCTGGGGCTGTGAAGACCTACCCTTACACAACTTTTATGCATCGAGCCTCTAGTAACAAATAAATAAAAATCTGGATGATGAAATAAGCCAGAAACTATGCTTATAAATACTTTATTTGAATTTTTAGCCTTTTAAAAGAATTGAATGCAAAAAATATCCAAAATTGAACTCATTATATTTTCCCGCCAAGCCAATTCCTCTTTCTTATTTCTTTCAATAACACAATCCTGTCTCCTTTACTGGATGTGAAACCTGATCTTTCTTTTTTAGACTATATTTTATTATGAAAAACTAGAGGTCTGATGCATGAAGATTTGTGCAAGAATGGGCCTTCCTTACCTTGGCTGCCAGCACTGCATTAGCTGTTGCTGGAGCCGCCTTTCCACCTTCCATGCTTCCCAAAGGCCTGGAGCAGTTGGGCAGTACAGAATGCCTACATTGTCACCATGGCAACAACATAGTGTCCTGCCCCGCCCCTGGCCACTCAGTGCCTGTGTATGCAAATTAACCCACCATCTTTGTTGCATTAATTTGCATACTCACTCCTGATTGGCTGGTGGGCATTGCAAAGGTACAGTCAATTTGCATCTTATACTTTTATTAGTATAGGAATAATCATACTGACCTCCTAGGGTTGTTATGAGGATTTAATGATATTAAATGACATATGAAGGCTTAAAACAGCACTTGGTCCACAGTAAATGCTCGGTGAACATGAAGACTGATTTTCATTCTCCTAGTCATGCAGGCCTGAAAACTACTGTGGCTTTCCTCACCTTCATGGTAAACCCTGACTTAAGCCTTCCCTTCCAGGCCCCAGGCATGCTGCATTCAAGACCTCTGTATTCTCACTCTGGGGTAACCCTCTACTCTCTGGTTGGCATTAGTCCTGGCAGAAACTGATCATTGGCCTCCTATTTCTTCCCTTCCAATCCCACACTCCTGGTTCTGCAAAGCATCCTTCCTCAACACACTTAAGGCCTCAGTGGAAACACCTTCCACTGCTTCCTGTCATCTACAAATTTATCTGTGAAATTATGTTAGCCCGGTGCTACAGCTCACCTCGGCTTTCTCTCCACTTCTCCCCATCAAATACTTTGGCATTGTCACCTGTCCCCGCCTGAGCCTTTGGCATGCCAGTTCCCTGAATGTCTTCTGTCCCATGTGTGGTGGTAGGAGGCCCAGCCATTCACTCCCTAAGGCAGGGGCTCTTTAA